TGGCTACACCACTTCCCTTTCCTCCATACGGCGGGAGTTCCTCGCTTTAACCAATCAGCAAATGCATTGTTCCTGCTCATTTGGGTCTATAAACCCCTCTCGGATTGTACAACTCTTCAGAGTTCCTTTCTATCTGCTAGACGGCATGCTGCCTGATTCATAAATTGCTGAGTCAAGCCAATAAGATCTTGAAGGTTTACCCAGCTGAACTTTTGTTCTTTAGCACACGTTAACTATAACTTTATCTCCTACAACCTTCTCCCTTGCTAATCAGCTCCAGTCACTGGAATCTCCTTTCTCCCTGTGGTGAGCCGAGCTCCTGCATTTTCACTTGCTTTTCCTGGGGAGGACTGTTCTGACTTCCCCCATCTGAGACCTTCCCACAGGTCTTAGCAGAAATGCCACTTTCTTGGCAAGACCGTCTCTGACCTCTATCCCAATTCTCGTTCATTACTCTGTGTGGATGTTCTTTGTTGTAGCCATATCTCATTTATTTGATTACTGTTGGTCTCCTTCAGCCGAATGTAAGTTCTACAAGTGTAGATGCCTTGTCTGTCATGGGGACTGCTGTAAATCAAAGGCCTAGAATAAACGCCTGGCAGACTGTGGGCACCTAGGCCAATTAAAAAATTTATTTATTTGTTTGTTTGTTTATTTTTGGCACAGCATTCGGGATCTTAGTTCCCCAACCGGGGATCAAACCTGTGCCCGCTGCAGTGGAAGCGAGAGGTCTCAACCCCTGGACCGCCAGGGAAGTACCCCCTCAAAATTTTTTTTTAAACTTAACCAATAAATGATGAAAAGAAACCATCCAAGACTCCATTCCAGGCTCCAGCGCTGAGCTCTTTTGGTTAACTGGATAACCTTGGACTCAAACCACCTCTGGAGGCGAGTTGGACAGAGAGAGGGAAAGCAGACTCCCTCCACTGCGCTCTGATCCTCGTCTAGGGGCACCCAAAGGATTTCTGCTTTGCTTAGGCCTTCTCAAGTTTGATGCCTGCCTCATCCCCCATGCCGCCCCTTGCCTCTTTCACCTGAAGGGTGGAGGAAAAGCAAGAAGTACAGATGTGACACCCAGCCACAGGAGACATGTTACGGCGGGCACTCCATTCAGCCTTGGAAACAGTTCTAGGGAGAATTAAAAATACAGCAGCACTGAAAGAAAGTGCTTGAGGGTGGGGCAGGGAGGGAGGCGCATTGTTTGTCTTTGGCAGCATTTAGGATGAAAGGAATAGTTTAGAAATTAGAGAATAGCCATTGTTTTCTGAAAGAAGCCCCAGAGGCCCTACCTGTGGGCCAAAAGGAGAAAGTCTAACAAAAGAGGCAAAGGGGGAAGAAGATTCGGGGTAGTCTCCTGTTTTTATAATGTGCTGCTTTTGCTGATCATGGCATAAGGTATTTCGGAGGGTTTTTTTGGTTGTCATTTATTTTGTTTTGTTTATCATCACCTTTGCTAATCTTGGAGACTTCCCCTTCCTTTGGGTTTATATTGTCAGAATATTTAGGGAAAGATTTGAAGAATTTCCCCTTCCCAACCCCAATTCTTCGAATGCAAATAAAATCATTTACCATTTGGATACACTGTAATTAAAGAGAGGAAGGGGCAGTTTCGTGAATCTAAAACAGACTTCCTTTTTTCTGTGTGTGGGTTCTGAGTCATTTAAAGGCAACGGGAGGACCCGCTGAGGGGGGCTGGGCAAAGGGGGTTGGCGGTGAAGGTGGGGCGGAGGTGCTGAAATCAACAACAGAACAGAATTGAAGCTGGGTCACATGATAAGACATCAAATCCCACACAATCTGACATTAGACAACTCTTTATGGTAAAATGTTAAGTACTTAATATTTTACTTTCATTGCAGGTCATCTTGCATTGTACCCCAAAGCTATTTGTTCCTAGAACAAACGTGCGTATGCTTATTAGATTTTAACAATCCGCTGCTTCCAGTTAGTAAAGAGGTCAGCCTAGACCTGGCTCTCTATGAATGAATGAGCCTCATTTGCACTGGTGGTGACCAATACAGTAGTTCTCAAACCAGAAGGATGAGATGTGGCTGGAGAGATGATATATCAGTAATGCTGATTCAATCCTTTTTTCTTCCTTATATTTTATTTTCATGCATCCCTGTGCCTGTGGGTGACTTACCACCCTCCTCCTCCCCTTGTGTTTAAGGTTGAGCCTGGTTTATCACCTAAGAAGTGATCAAGACAGTCAAGCCAAGGTGGAAAGAAGCAGCCACTCAGCCTCCCTCCTTCACCTGCCTCTCTCTCTATAACTGGCTTTTATTGATTATTCGATTGGGTAAACACCCAGAAGGGGAAATAACTTAGTGGAAAAGTCGTGTTATTTTATCCATTCTGATTTTCATCGGTTCTGAGAAAATTTGATTCATTTTCCTAGATCACTACTAACTTTTGGGTTTTCTCTCTTTCAAAAAAAAAAAAAAGAAGAAGAATAAAAAGAAAGAAAGAGGGACTTCCCTGGTGGCACAGTGGTTAAGAATCTGCCTGCCAATGCAGGGGACATGGGTTTGAGCCCCAGTTCAGGAAGATCCCACATGCTGCGGAGCATCTAAGCCCATGCGCCACAACTACTGGGCCTGCGCTCTAGAGCCCATGAGCCACAACTACTGAGCCCGCGTGCCACAACTACTGAAGTGGGCGTGCCACAACTACTGAAGCCCGTGCGCCTAGAGCCCGTGCTCCACAACAAGACAAGCCACCGCCATGAGAAGCCCGTGCACTGTAATGAAGAGTAGCCCCTGCTCACCGCAACTAGAGAAAGCCCACGCACAGCAATGAAGACCCAACACAGCCAAAACTAAAATAAATTAAAAGAAAAAATAAAGAAAGGAAGAAAGAAAAGGAATGAAAAAGAAAGGGAGGGAGGGAGGGAGTGGGAGAGAGAGAGAGAGGAAGGAAGGAAGGAAGAAAGAAAGAAAAATGGTTTTGGGGGGTCAAGAGCTGAATCATGAGTTAAATAGGAGGTGGATGGACAGACACAGTTGACTAACTGGGCTGTACTTCCTCTGCTCTCCCAAACACCTTGTAACAGCCCTTCTCTGGGGATGTGAGAGCGAAATTCTGCGGCTGAGTCTCACTTCCAGTTGATGAAATGCTTCGTCATCGGCTGGGGTGAAGACGCATCTTCAGTAATAAGGCATGACTGTAATTCCTCACCCCCTGGCTATTATTAATCATGACTCATTTCATGAAAGAGGGAATAAAAGACTCTGTAGGCCCAAAGCACATCTAAGCTGGAAGGATTTCAGGCTTGGGCGTGTGAGGCTTTTCCCTTTATAAAGGGGGAAATGAGTGTGTTCTCCTAAGGGAGAGAGGTCTGGCTCTCGCAGAGGAGACTGTCAGATCGGCCCCTTGCACAGGGAAAGGTCTTACGCATAATCAGGAGAAAACAAACTCACCCTGATCTGACTCTCCATTAACAGCCTGCATTGATACAATGGTCTGCAGCAATATTTGCCCTGTTTTCTCCTTAGAAAACAAGACATGTCCAAGTGCCTTGGGCCATATACTTAGTCCTGACTTAGCCTGGAATTATTTGGGGGTTATTCACCCTTGATAATGAATAACTACATAGCTGGAAGGAATCTTAGAGATCATTGCATGTGTCTCCTCAATTCAAAGATAAGGGAGAAAAAACAAGGTTGATAAGATTTACTGGGACCTGCGCAGAACACTATTCCTTGACTCAGAAATGAACTGGCACCCTGGGCTTTGGGCTTTTAGGCCTATGCTCTATCTATTGCAACAGAACCTCAACTGAGTGTGGACTTCAGCTGAGTGAACTCTGGAAGGTTCACGTGTCACACTGGACCTCAGTAAGAGGTGTACCTGTTACTAACTTATTACTAACCTGCCACATGGGTAAGATCTTCTGAGATTAAGAGCACAGGCTTTTGGGAATCAGAGGACCTGGGTTCAAATGGAGACTATGCCTGTGCTTGACTACATAGTCTTGGGCAAACTAGTTAACCTTGTCACACTAAAATAACTAGAAAGTCTCAGTTTCCTCATCTCTTAAATGGGTCTAATAGCATTATCGTCAAGCAATGGTTGTTGTAAAGATTAAGATCATGCACATGAAGTGCTCAGCACAGGACATAGTTAGCTCTTGGTAAACATTGTTGTTAGGAGTGAAATGGCTTCCTTAAGGAGGGCTCAAATAAGATTAGAGGGTAAACGATGTGTGGCTTTCTCCCAATCATGTTTCTTTCCTTCCTTCTTAGTAGGACGGCTTTCTTTGCCAAGGAGTCCCCGACTCTCCTGTCGGGGAGATGTACATGGTGGCAGTTCGTCTGCTCTTGGAAGAGAGAGTGATGCGAGTTCTTAGGGTTCATTGCTCCCCCTTAGCCCAGCTCAGGTCCACCTCCAAAAGCCGGGGAATCACAGAAGGCTGGTTACTGCAGCTTCTCACCCCGCCCCTCCTAGTTTACTCTTCTTCTCACCCTTCTCTGCCTCCTGCACCTTCCTTTCCTCTCCTTCCTCCCTTCTATCCTCTCCATCCTCCCTTCTATCTTCTCCATCAGTTGCTACCACTGATCCAGCACTGGGAACACTAGGAAATCCTCCAACGTCCTTTTCCTAGTGTTTTTTACACTTGATCTTAGCCAAAAGGCTGAGAAGCGATTTCCTAAGTTTTTTTAAGAAGCATTTTCTAGCGTGTGTTAAAAATAATTTCGTTTTCAGAGGCATGACAAACCAGAGATGCGCCTTTAAGGAAGGACAGGCTGCAGGGCTGAAAGCCCCTAGCTGTCTCCTCTGGGACCCATCTCAGCTAGAGGCTGGCTTCTCCCAGCAGCCCAGGGTCACAGACAGAGCCCGGCGGTGTTCCAAGGGCTGGGCTCTTTCTGCCCCAGGAGGTACTCCTCTAGTGGGTGTTCTCTGCTCCAGGGCTCCCTTGGCTTGGAGAGGGTTGGTCACATCTTCATTCTGATCTGAAGACTCCCCCTGCCCCGTCCTGCTCCTGCCCTTTTCTTTCATAGGTTTTCCCTGTGAAACCCCGTACCAGCATCTGCTTCCCGGAGAACACAAGAAGCCTCGCTACTCGTCATCCCATCCCTAGGGCCGTATGCGTGGGACACATATGTGTCCGGAAGGGGAGCAGATGACATACGCTGGGGAAAAAGGGCTCAGAGGGCAAGAAATGCCTGAGCACCAGCTCCGTGCTGGGCACTGCGCCAGGCCCTCTGTGTCTGAGATTTCCTTAATCTTCATAATGAAACTGATGTTGGTTTCACCACCTCCATTTACTGTTAAAGACACTGACGGCTCAGAAAGGTTAAGAAACTTGCCTGAGGGCTTCGAACCCATCCAGGGATGCCAAACAACAAAAACAAAACCACAGACAAACAAAAAAGAAACTTGCCCGAGGGCACCTGACTGCTAAGGGGTGGAACCAGGATTTGAACCTAGAGTGTTTGACTCCAGTGTTTGGGCTCTTTGGGCTGCTGGGCCGAGGGTGAGGCAGCACCGTGGGCCCCGTTCCCTTCTGGAAACCCCGCAAGCCAAGCATCTTCATCAATACTCAGTAATGCTGTCAGACCTATCAGAGCCCAGAGTCATTCGGAGTGGCGTGCAGGAGAGAGACCTTAGAATCCTTCATTTCACTCTAGAAACGCCTTCTGAATCTCCTGCTGAGATCCACCCCTTTCCCCACATTCAGCTTCAGACAAAGGGCTAAGCCTAATAAAGGTAAACACCATCGTAATTATAATGAAGTAATAATAATACAAAGTTAGCTCACGTGATGAGCGCTCTCGTGACACGTACTTTTTCATCCACACACATCCATGTGTTTTCTTGCTTTAATATTTGTTCTTCCATCTGCCTTGCGAAGAACTTTCTTCCCTTGTGAACGTTCCTGCCTGTCTGTCCTCCTGCTGACCCTGAATTTCAAGGAGGGGGCAGATGCTCAGCTGCTGCTCAGCCCTCTGGCTACACTTTGAGCCTCAGAGAGACAAGCAGGTACATGATTTTCTGCCATGTTACAAATAGGGAAACATGAAGGAGTAAGTTGGGTTGTGCGCATTAAGGGAGTATGGCTATATGGGGCCTGACTGTCTTCCTGTGCTTTGGCTCAAAGGAAATTATAAAACGTTATTAAGCGTCTGTTATCTCTGTCTCGTGGGAATTTCATTTAGCCCCTTGATATATCAATGCTAGATCTGGCCTGCAAGAAGACTGTTTAGTACCACTTATTGATGATTTACTCTGTACCAGGCACTGTGATGGGTACTTCGCAGGCAACTATACTTTCATGGCTTTCGAGCCATGATGGTCCCATTTTACTTAGGAGCAAACAGATTCAGAGAGGTTAAGCAGCTGGCTTAAGATCACACAGCTAGGCAGAATTAGGTTTCAAACCTAACTCTTTCTGACTCCAAAGCTTATTCTGTGCACCATGCTATATAGCTTTGGGAAGAAATGGGCTTAGGAGGCCCTGAAACTGAATGTTTTAAAATAGATATTAAAACTATTTGATATTTGTTGTATCCTCAAGACAATTTAGTGAGATAGATGGCAATATTTTCCATCTTAACACATCCTTCCCTTTTTACGCCTCTTTTTCCTCCCAACCACCCCTTTCAAGGCCAAAGCTCTAAAATAAAACTAGCCCACACTTCCTCACATCCCATCCTTTCCTCCACGTACTTCCCCGGGGCTCCATGCCCACCTCGTCACAGAACCTGCTCTTGTCATCATCCCCAGTGACCTCCGTGTTGCCAGATCCACTGGACTCTCTCCCCTCCCAATCTTTTTCAGATTCTTTAGGAATATTTGACCCAGTTGATCCCTCCTTCTTGAAAGAATGTCCTCCTTTGGTTTGGGGAACATCACACACTCTCAGTGTTTTCCTTTCCCCTCTCTGGCCACCACGCAGGCCCCTTCCCGGGTTCTTTCTATTACCAGCTGTGTATGCAATACTCCGTCCTTCCTTCTTCCTGACAAATACAAGCCCAGCGTTGTTCAGGTCAGCAAGCTGCCCAGCTAAGAAGACTTCCTTTTCTGGACTCACTTGGAGTTGGGAGGATGTGTGCTCTGGACAATGAAGAAGCTGGCTGCGTAAAGGCTTCCAGGACAGCTTTCATTTCTCGATTGAAAGGAGAGGGCTTGCCCTGTGTCCCTCCTGCTTCCTACCTGGATTGTGGTCCTGCACCCAAAGGTACAGCTGCCATCTTGTGACCATGAAGCCACAAGCTCGAGGATAGAGACCTACGTGCCAAAAACCGCAGAAGAGGAAGATAGAAGAACTTGGGTCCCCGAGATGTTATGGATCGGCTGCACCATCCTTGGGCTGCCAAGGTCCAGAGTTCACGTTATGTGACAAGAATACACCCTCACCTAAACACCCAACAAGAATTTTCTGTTATTTGCCATCAAATAAAAACATTCTGAACTGATACTTAACTACCGTGCCTCTGAGTCTTAGAAACACCCAGGATTTAGTCCTTGGACCCTCTTCTTTTATCTGTCTGATGATATACAAGCTCTGGGAGAAGGTAGCTCTCACTAGGGGACTTTCTACACTTCCTTAGTTTTAAATAATCATTTTTTTTTTTTAATCACTGTAATTGTTTTATTTTTCAGGTTCACTTTGAAAGGCAGTATTCGTTAGGGTGTGTATTTTGGCAGTTTTTAAGAGGGACTTTTTTTTTTTTAATGTATATGTATTTTTGGCTGTGTTGGGTCTTCTTTTCTGTGCGAGGGTTTTCTCTAGTGGTAAGCGGGGGCCACTCTTCATCGTGGTGAGCGGGCCTCTCACTATGGAGGCCTCTCTTGTTGCGGAGCACAGGCTCCAGACGCGCAGGCTCAGTAGTCGTGGCTCACGGGCCCAGTTGCTCCACGGCATGTGGGATCTTCCCAGACCAGGGCTCGAACCCGTGTCCCCTGCATTGGCAGGTGGATTCTTAACCACTGCGCCACCAGGGAAGCCCTTAAGTAATAATTACCTACTACTGATATCCAAATTTATGCCTCTAGCCCAAGCTTACTTGGCACCTACATTGCAGTGTCTTAGTGAGATTTCTAGGTGGTGGTGTTTCTTCTCCATCTCTATCTCACAATCTGGCCCAACAGGAAGCTCTGTATTTTCTGGCTCTTAAATATGTTGAGAATTCATTGACTTCTCTCCATCCTCAGGGCTCCCTCTTTAGAACAAGATACAGAGAAGGGAAGCTGTCCACCCTCACAGAGAGCCAGGACTCAGAGAACTGAAAGACCCTTCCTCTCCCAGAACTGTCCACATTAATATGAATTTACTATTCCTTTGTCTTCATTAGCCTGACTTTACTTTTCCAGGAGATACTTCCCCAGGCAAAGAATTTGGTTGTTTCTTACAGGAACCTCCTGGAAGATCCATCGATGCTATAAAGCATCAACAGACATTTCACGCCCCCATATTCTTTGAACCCCTTGCCTTAAAATTCTCTCACCTTGCTAGTTTCTAAACTGTTATATCATGATCCTAATCGAGCCTCCATGCTGAAAGATCTACCTTAAATCGTGAGCCAAATTCTCCATAAAATTCAACCTTGCTTTTTCCCTCCCAAGACACTGCCAAAATCCTGTTCTGCTTCACCGCAGAAAGCAATAAACTCAGCTCTGTCTCATCAACACACTGTGTTGGGAAGTTAGCATTTGACCACACCATCACCGGCTCCATTTCCCCTCCCCACCGGCTGTCCTCGAATCTATTCTCCAAGTAGCAGGCAGAGTGGTCTTTTTAAAAAACACAAATTGGGCGTTGTGATCTTTCTTCATAAAACCCTCTGTATCGGTTGCCTCCTCCCACTTCTGATCTCAGTCACTTCTGATTTCAGCTGTGGGGTGGGTGGCCCCAGTGGGCGGTCCCAAGTGGGCTTCAGGTCAAGTCATAGGACAGTGGCTACCTGCTGTGCACACCTGGGTGGGGGGGACCTTTGCTTCCTGCCTGGGGATTCCTCCACATTTGCAGCCGCTAGGAAGCTTGAGGCAAAGGATAAACACTCCCATCTCTAGTCCATCAGGAGGGCCATCCGGAGGCTTGCTTTATGCTTGTCATGCTTCTCGGGAGATCCAGGGATGAAGCCCTACTGCTTCAGTTGAAGCGGCAACCTGACGCTTGTTTTTTCCTCCTCCTTTGTCTTAATCTCTCGCTCTTGCCTCTTTCCCAGAATCATTTCAACTTGCACAGAAGTTTTCGTTTCAGGCTCTGTTTCTCAGGAAACACAAGCTAAGGGTCCCTACACTAAGTTTCCCGTTTACCTGGAATAATCCTCACCGTGCCAACAAATCGCTGCTCACCTCTCCTCTCTCATCTCATTCTGTTCTCCCCTCTTGTTCCACACTGGAGGCACATTGGCCCCCTTTTAGTTTCCTGAATACATAAAAAAGTAATAATGGCACTGAATGGGGAGCAGAATACGCTACCCCCAAATATCCTTCCTTGGCATGAGGATTACTTTGAGCTGATCATTTTTGAGGAAAAACAGACACAGGAGAAGCTCTAAAAACAGTAGAAATTTATATTTATATTTATAAGGGAAATCTCCATTTGCAGTGTATCTCCCTCTCTGTACCCGGAAGAGAAAGAGGACCCTCAATCACCAAAACGCTCTCATCACTGGAGACGGTGCCAGATGTAAATCTGCATGACAACCTTCCTGTACTTCTCCTGGTAACCTCCCAGAACTGGCCTCCCCACCCATCTTTCTTTAGTCTTTAGCTGGAGATGATAGTTAAGGTGGTGGCTTGCGCCATTTCATGCAGTTGTTTGGTTTTCCTGGGTATCTCCCATGTATACAGGAGGGATATGTGTTATTTTATTTTTGGGGGTTGCTTTGCGTCTTCGTTGCTGTGCATGGGCTTTTCTCTCGTTGCGGAGAGCGGGGGATGCTCTTCGTTGCAGTGTGTGGGCTTCTCATTGCGGTGGCTTCTCTTGCTGCGGAGCACGGGCTCTAGGCACGCGGGCTCAGTAGTTGTGGCTTGTCAGCTCTAGAGCGCAGGCTCAGTAGTTGTGGCGCATGGGCTTAGTTGCTCTGTGGCATCTTCCCGGACCAGGGCTTGAATCCGTGTTCCCTGCACTGGCAGGTGGATTCTTTTTTTTTTCTTAACATCTTTATTGGAGTATAATCGCTTTACAATGTTGTGTTAGTTTCTGCTGTATAACAAAGTGAATCAGCTATATGTATACATATATCCCCATATCCCCTCCCTCTTGCGTCTCCCTCCCACCCTCCCTATCCCACCCCTCTAGGTGGTCACAAAACACAGAGCTGATCTCCCTGTGCTATGCAGCTGCTTCCTACTAGCTACCTATTTTACATTTGGTAGTGTATATATGTCCATGCTACTCTCTCACTTCGTCCCAGCTTACCCTTCCTCCTGCCAGTGTCCTCAAGTCCATTCTTTACATCTGTGTCTTTATTCCTGTCCTGCCCCTAGGTTCATCAGAACCTTTTCTTTTTTTTTTTTAGATTCATATATATGTGTTAGCATACGGTATTTGTTTTTCTCTTTCTGACTTACTTCACTCTGTATGACAGACTCTAGGTCCATTCACCTCATGACAAATAAGTCAATTTCGTTTCTTTTTATGGTTCCATTGTATATATGTGGGCAGGTGGATTCTTAACCATTGCGCCACCAGGGAAGCCTGGGATACATGTTGCTGAAGTTATGTTTGTCTCTTGTTAATTTGTCTTTTATTACAGGGGGATCTCAACTCCTGAACCTAGGAGGGTAGAAGGAAAATCATTTTTCTTCCCCTACACCAGTCTGTGGATTTCAGAAGGAATTTATCCTGGCTGGAAAGCCAGGCTTGCCCATCTCCCGAATCAGCAGGTGCAGCGAGGGGCAAGGCTGGGTCCTGGAGAGCGCTGGGAGGCAGGGAATGAGAGCAGAGGGGAGAAGGAGCGCACGGGCCTCCGGAGGGCACAGCCCCTACCTCCTTCTTCCCTCTGGGGACCTTTCTGTGCAGATCTCATAATATCCAGCCCCTTGGAACTGAGACTCTCCCTGGAACAGCAGGCGGACTTGAGCAACAAGGGCGTTCCTGGCATTTCTTCCACTGCGAAACTTGTTTTTCTCTTCCTTTTTGGCTGCGCCGTGCAGCATGCAGGGTCCCAGTCCCCTGACCAGGGATCGAAGCCACACCCTCTGCAGTGGAAGCGAAGAGTCTTAACCACTGGACCGCCACAAAAGTCCCTTTCCAGTGGGAACTTCACAAAACCACCTTCCCCCTTTCCCCGGGCTTCCCCCTCTCCCCACTTCCATTGTATCAGGACAACTCTGTCTCAGATGTATTACAATTAATCACGCTGTAGATTGGAAGTGACCCATATACTTTCCTATGTTTCACGTGGTTTGAGATGTATTCTAGACTCCCTGATGAAAACTACATTTCCTGGTTTCATCGGCATTGGGGTGAAAAAGTCTTCCTTCTATCCTTCTAGGTCATTTGGCTGGTCTAAGAATTAAATTGACATAAGACATTAACAGGGGAGAAACTTTAATACTGTATGTATGCGAGTCCCATAAAAATATGGGATACAGAGTTAGTCAGCCAATTGAGGCTTCTGTGCCATCCTGAGCTCAGGAATGGGAGACGGACTTGAGGCTTCAAAGGGGAGGAGGGGGGACTTCACTGGTGTCGCAGTGGCTAAGAATCTGCTTGCCAATTCAGGGGACACAGGTTCGAGCCCTGGTCCAGGAAGATCCCACATGCCACGGAGCAAATAAGCCCATATGCCACAACTACTGACCCTGCGCTCTAGAGCCTGTGAGCCACAACTACTGAGCCCTCGTGCTACAACTACTGAAGCCCGTGCACCTAGAGCCCGTGCTCCGCAACAAGAGAAGCCACCGCAATGAGAAGCCCGCACACCGCAACGAAGAGTAGCCCCCACTCGCCTGCACGCAGCAATGAAGACCCGATGGAGCTAAAAATAAATAAATTAAATAAATAAATTTATTAAAAAATAAAGGTGGGGGAGAAGGGTAATTCACAGGAAGATAAGAGGGTAATCAGATGTTTGCCCTGTTGTACAAGTAAGTCTTTCAGATAAAGAATTATCTCCAGTAATAGCTCTCTTTCTGGGCCAGGCCCCCTATCTAAATTCTTTTAGGCAGTAAGGGAAAGGTAAAAGTTTTTATTGAGTCTGCTGGGTCTTGATTGCCTTCAGCTCAAAATAATCTACATGCCAAAGGGGCACATTTGGGGGGAGGGGGTTATATATCTACTTCTCTTCCTCAGCAACATATTTTCTTTCTCTAGTTAATTTCTGTAATTTTAATCCCTCATTGTCAGATTAATACAGTTCCTTGTGGAATGTTTGGAAAAATACCAAAAGGTGTAAAGAAGCAAACAAACACACGACAATTCCAGTGGAAATAAAGTACTTTGGTATATGTCCATAGACTT